TAAAGTTTATTAATGTTTAGTAATTAATGCATTTGATTGTTTGCTTGTTGATTAAAATTTATGGATTGATCAAAGAATTGGATTAATTTGGATTTGGGTTTTTATCCTCAAAGGATTATCTCATTGTTTTCAGGTCACTAAATCAGAGTTAATATTCAATTTAATTGTTCAATGAGATTTAATTATTTAGGTCAATTCATGTTTCTCATTTATGATCATCGTTCATCATGATTATTATTTTTGTTGAACTTTAACTGATTTTTTTTTCTCATTTGAATCTAATTCATTTCCATGATTCAGTTTCATTGTTGATCATGAAGCCTAATCATCAAAACTCATCTCTAGTTAATTATCTAGAATTGAATTTGATGATAATCATGATGAGGTTATTATTTCATGATGACTTTGCTTTTGATGAAAATGATGATAATTCAACTGATTATCAATTTTAATTCTTAATTGACATTTAATCTGAAAATGATATTACATAAATTAGAAAATAAATTTCGCTTCAAAGATCAAATAATCAAAAGATAAAATCTAATTGAATCAATAATTTAATCAAATTGATTTCATGATAATCCGAAAGTTTCATCATTTCATTTTTTCAATAACTCGCAACTTGATTAATTTACAATTCCAAGTGTTTTAATTAACATTTCAATCAGATCCCAATTGATTGAAAACTAATTCAAATGTACAGGTTAATGATTAACAGTTTGATCTAATCAATTCATGTAACAATCCTGTTCAATTAACCATAATTCTGATACAACTAAATAAAAGATGATGATTAATATCAGAATTGTGAATACTTGAAATGGTAACTTAGTTACCAATGTAACTTTATCGTGACGATTTCCATCATCAACTGACCATTGATTTTAATTCGTTTGATTGTTTGACCATCACCAGTGGTCATCTTAGTCTCTCTGTTTCTCTCATGTTTATCATGATTCTCAGTGTCAGATGAGATAACCTTCAATCCTTTAGGTTCATTTGCTTTCAATTTAATGTATTTAACAAGAAGTGACAATTATCTTGTCAACTCTCAGTTGCTTGTAATCATTTTACATCCACTCATCATCTCCATCAAATTATAACCACTCACTCACTCATCATCATCACCACCACCATCTATCCACTCCCATTCCCACTCTCCCTCTCACTAGACCTTTAATCAAATGAAAAAGGAAAAGGAAACAAAATCATCAAGGTTAACAATCAACTGATTGATGCATAATCACTTGAATCATTACAATGGATTAAACAATCAGTTAATTTGATTCACTAGAAACTAACAAAGATCAAGTTTCACTTAATCATCAGTATCTATTTTATTTGCTCAAATGATTAACTATTAATCAAGTGAATGATCAGTGAACAATAATGAAAGAAACACAAACAATCAGACAATTAACTTGACAATTATAATTATGAATGTGATTCTTTATATCAATTAACCCTAAAGGTAGATTGAGATTGAAAATTGATGAGACAATTTTGATAAATGATAAATATTTTCATAAACAATCAAATCGTAATCTGATTAATTACATTTGATTCCATTGTTTTATCAATAAATCATTAATCAACAATCAGATTAACAATTGATTATCAACTGGTAATCATCAATTAAAATGATTTCCAATTGAAAAACAACAAGAATACAGGAAAATGAATCGATAACAAGATTAAAACTGAACAATCATTAATTTTAATTCTGATGTTGATGATACACTTAAATCATTGATTGAGATTCAATGTTGACCTGATGAAAATGGAGGAGGAAACGGAAGATGAAGATGATAAAAGATGAGAGAACAGGTAAAAACTTTTCGATTCTTTTTCTTATTCTTTTCTCCTCCTTCCAATCTTCATCATCTTCTCCAGAGACACTTAGAACAGATTCTCTGTCGATTCGAAAATTTTTTAATCATCATACCATCCATCTTATATTCTCATGAGAATTCACCATTGCTACAGAATTTTTTTCTCTCCACTTTCTTCCCTGTTTGTTCAATTCTATCTCTCCCCATCCTCATCTTATCTTCCTCTCCTTTCACCTCCCATCTCCTTCATCACTTCCCTTACTCTTTATCATAACATTTTCCTCCATCGGGTCACCCGATATCTCATATAACTCTTAGGGCAACAATACGTTTTCACCCTGAAATCGTTTGTCGTTAAAAGCAATACTCATGATAGTAATGAATCTCACTCTCTGACCCCCAGAACTTTTCAAATATATGATTTAAACTGCTAGTAGATTTGAAAAGAGACAGAAAATTTCTGATTAAAAGTGAAATCTGAAAAAAGCAACATTAATCTGATTGATTCTTAATAACTTGGTGATTAATTGATTAACCATTACAGGGTAATAAATTTAAGTTCCAAATGAATCACCTGAACCAACCTGGTATTCAATTTCCCTGACAAATGATTCTCACGGAAATCCTTTACTAGGCTTTGTAGATATCGAATAGGCAGAAAAAAATGTTATCTTGAAATTATCTGATTTTCAGAGTTTTTAGGTGAAATTACATGATCCATGCGTTTGTAATTTACTAGGAAAATGTTAATCATTTGATTATATTAATAATTGTTGAAACAATTCACGTATCAGTTTAATCATCAGATTCAATTTTCTAGTAAAACGACAATCGTAATCAAGTTAATTTAATTTACCTTTAAGACTGACCACAATTGATGATTGGTTATCATGAAGTTCAAAAAACTGACCAGAGCAGAAAAAATCTCATTCTTTCTTTGATTAGCTTCTTGCTCGTTGGTCATTTCTGATTATTTCAAAAGGAAGCTTCAAAATTCATTTCTCTTCTTGATGAAGATAAGAGATGAAGATGTAGAGTCCATAAGAGAGAGAGAGAGAGAGAGAGAGAGAGAGAGAGAGAGAGAGAGAGAGAGAGAGATTGTCTATTTAAGGTTAAGTGATATTACATTTCTAATATAACTTTCATCATCTTTCAACCTTTTGTTTCATTAATGTATTGAACTCACTCAAAAGATTCGGGATTCACTCTGTAATTTTACCTGAACTTTTACTCTGATTTATCATGATGCATGACATGAATTTCAACTTGATAATATATATGAATCTGAGGATAAAAAATTATCCATCCTATTATTACTTATTATTTACAAATAATAACAAGTTAAAAGATGACAGAGAAAACATTGAGCGGAATTGAAAAGTTATTCAATGAATTTTCAACTTTTGAACAATTTCATTCAATAAAACTGCAAAAGCAAAGCAAAAAATATCCATGACTAGCATTTGTCTGATTATCAGCTGATAATGATGAATTAATATCATGATGATTTATTTACGCAATTTGATTCAATTACCCATGTAAAGATAATGATTGATAATTATTTCTGATCATTTAGTTGAATATGATGAAAATCCTCATGAACACATGAATTGGAAATTGAGCCTGATTATCATTTGAAAAAAGTTTTTCCTCGAAAAAAAAAATGATTCCTGAGAAACTAATCGATCACCACTCAGGGAAAAGCTCAGGGAAATATATATTCATTGAGATGAATTCACTATGAGACAGGAAACCGAAAAGATTATGAGAACTATCATGAATTCCCTGTTAATCCTTAAGCCAATGCTCGAAAAAACTTTCATCTGTATGAAGGAACAGAAAAAAAACACATTCCCCACCGAACCCCCTGTAAGATGAGGATGCTGCTGGTGGAGTTGATGATGATGAAGAATTGAGGGGAAAGGAGCATAAGTTGAATGTGTGAAAATTCATGTAACTGTGAATAGACTTGGGGATTAGCATTAAGATCAGCTCAGCAAGATAATTCTAACTCTCTGTTGATTGCTTTTTCTTCATCTTCTTCATCATTATCATCAACATTATCTTTCAAAGTTAAATTAGCTTCTTCAACTTTCTGTTTTTCTGTTTTTCATTTCTTTCCTAAACTCACAAGATTATCTCATTTCCATCTCGTAGAAGAAGAAAAAATCCTTCTAAAAACGAGTTCTAAATTCGAAGGGTTTGGAAATTAGAACGAAAAGAAAAAGAGAACTTATTTAATGATTAGTAAACTTTTATTCGATTACATTTCTCTCGCTCCCTACTTGTGGTTCCATTGAGATGATGATTACCTCGAATTGGCTCGAGAACCACAGATAAGAAGAAGAGAAAAGTTGAGTTGGATATTCATTGGAGCAGATCAAGTTCGAGAGTTGGATAGTTTTTGTGTTCGAAAAGCAATAATGAAACGGACAACGAAAAATGTTTCAGAACAAAAAGTTATCATCAACCTTTAAAATTGTCAATTTTTGATCTTATTTATATTTTATACTTCGACATCTTCAATGTATAGAAAAACTTATCACCATTATTATTAAATGTTTTATCAACATAACAGAAAATGACATTTCGATTCAGTTCAGAACTTTATCTTTTCCCTCTTCTTCGGTTGCTCCCTCTCTTTATTTTCCTTAAATTGGAAATATTTTCTGAGATAAACTTAATATCTTAACATTTTCTCTGGCAGATTCTTCTGAATAGGCAATAACATTGAGTAAACATTTGGACACTTGACCAAGTGAATTTTGGAAATTTTCTGTCACACTGAACTTTTTTTTTCTTCAAAGAACATTTTAAACCATAACCTGATGCTGATGATGAAGAAGAAGATAAAAAAATTCTCCATAGCAAATTGAGAAGACAGTTAATGATAATCAAGTCGATTAAATGAATGAATGATGGTCAATATAATAGGAGAAATAAACTGACCATCAGAAGAGATGAAAGTTAATAATGCATAAAATTCAATTCGAGTTACTAAATGGTTTTATCTATTTTCTTCAGCATCATTGAGAATTCATCGAAATTTTGTCAACAATTTAAAAAGATGAAAACAGTTATCGGTGTTAATGAGGAAAATATTGACAGAGATTAAAAGAGGAAGGGTATTCGTCGATTTTTCGATCAATACATTGTATCAATACTTACATAGGACTCGAAGTGGTTGAGTTTTACGAACTGTTTTGAACGGAGCTTCCGATGAGACTTCGCATTTATATTCACCTTGACTATTTAAATCGGTTGTATTCAAAAAGACGTGACCGAGGGTCGATTTGGATAACTATAAGAATGAGAGAATTGTGGTTAGAACAATTTTATCAGAATTTGTTTTGTTTCCTTTTCTGTTCTTCGTCAAGGGTCAGTAAATGGTCAGTAGTTTATTTTTTATTTCTTGTTTATTTGTCAATCTAAATCCGATTCATGATGATGAAAACCCTCTGGGAATTTAAACTTTAAGGTGTAAGTTTATCTCTTTTTTGATGGTTAATAACATTTTCAACGATTGTTGAACAATTTTTTTCTATTCATTGTCAACCTTTTTTTTCATGGAAAATTTTCCTCATAAATCATCAAATTGAGTTGGTGTCTAAATTGCCTGAGGCTCTGGTAAATGATACACTGATAATCAATTGGTAGCAACTGATTAAGTCTCACTTTGGTTTAACCAGATTGAGTTATAATGTTGACCAAATTGTTGGTCTTTCTCATTGTCTTTTAACCAATTAGTTAGATCTTAATTATGATCATCACTCACCTTTTAGTTCACAATCAGGGAAAAGGTTAAATAACAATGATTGATAAATTTACAATAATTAAGAGACCAATTCAGCTGTTCATTGCTCTACATTGACAATTAAACGATCAACAATCAATTCACACTTTGAAGTACACAAACTAATCAGTAATTAAAATATGAATGATTAAGAAACAATCTAAAGATTCAATTGAAAATGAAACGTTTAAATTGTCAGCAATTAAAATTGAAAATTAAAAATTCACTTCTGTTACCATGACTATTATATAAAAAGCGCGCTTTTCAATTATGTCAAATTTGGATAAAAAATTTTCGGGTTCATGTTATTAATCAATTAATTAACTGATTTCTCCTTTGATTATCAGTTATTTTCATTAATGAACATGTGAGATTTAGTGTCTCCACTAGACCATTCGAGTGGTCACTTTTGGACTAACTTCCGATTGAAGTTTAGGTTGACTGGTCAACTTTGATTTTCTAGAGTTACTTTGAACCACTTTGATTGTAATTAACATGAAACAATCAGCAATCAAGTATAACAGGGGATAAAAATTGTTTCCATAATCAATTAATCATCTCAAGTTTCATTGTTGAGTATTGATCAAGAGATAATAATAATTACAATGATTTTCGAGTGACCGGAAAACGGAAACTGAATAATACTGAATTGCAACTTTTTCTGCTTAACCAATCATCAGAAAATTATATTTCATTAATCTACTAGTCATCAAGTAATAATTTTATTATAACAATTAACTGATTGGTGATTCTGAAATCAAACGAAACCTTGGTAACAGAAAACACCATAAACATTTATATCTCCATTCAGAATCTGAGAATGAAGTTCATGATGAAATTCAGGAAACCGTAACCCACTCACCATCAAGTAGGTCAATTAATAATGACAATTTCTGATCAACCTCTACACCTTAACTTTTAATTAGTTGGTTGATTATAAACAATTAAACGTTTCTATTAATTTTCACCCTGATTCATAAACGTTACATTAATGATTGATTCAGGAATTATGATCAACACAAATTAAAATGCTCACAAAAACAATCAACGTTCATCACTCAATTAATATTTGATTGTTTCCATTAACAATTAACTTCATCTTGTCCCACTCATCCTGAAATTAATGATTAACTTTAATATCATCAGAAGTTTTCATCAATAAACATTTCCCCCTGCAAATGATATTCAGTGTTGATGTCATTGAATCAAAAGATGAATATTATTGATCAATAAATAATGATGATAAAAGATCAATACAAAACTAACAGTTATCATCATGATAATCATGATGATGATACATCATCAATTTGATAATATTGTTCATTTCCAATGACATCCTAAAAACAACATTATTATAAGTCACGTGAAAACGATATAATAAATGTTGATAAAAGGTAAACGATTATACTAATACAATTAGTTAATTGTGATTGAAATACACAAAATTGTAACAATTTACTTGAAGGTAAACAGATAATACAAATTGTTCATTAATAAGATAAGTTATCATTAACTTTTCAACAATTCAAACATGATGATTACCAATAGATTATCAAGGTAATTCAATATCATGAAATTGATTAAGTCGATTATTAATTTTACTAATCATGAACTCAGAAAAACTCATGAACTTTTTTTTTTCTTCACTCAGACAGAATTGGGAGTGATGATTATCACAATGTCCATTAATAATCATCCCTTAATCTGTGGTAATAATATCGAAAGCAGAAACACCCTTTAGACCTCAAGCTCTTCAATTAAGATTCATATAAAACCGTTATTATTATTATCATCTTTGTATACATGGGATATCATCTTGTTCATCATCATGAACACACACACAACCTGTCATTTAGAATCCAGGTAAATATCGATATAAAAATGGAATAGAAAATAATAATTTCTTTTCTAATATTTTTTCCCTTCTCTCTCTCACTCACTAGTTTTTACCATGGAAACAGTTATAATACTTAATTCTACCTCTGGTTCCGGTTGAAATTACTCTAATGCGTGACTCTGATCAAGAACTTTTCTCATGATGAAATAGTCGAATTGCCCTTTTGCTCGATCATCATCATCATCATCATCATCTCTCTCTCTCTCTCTCTCTCTCCTTGTTCTCTGTATCTTCTTCATCATCCTCTCTCATCCACCCTATCACTTCATCACATTTGAATCAAGATCTTGGCTCTCTAACATTCAGAGTTTGATTTTGTAACATGCATTTACCTAATCTGATAATCTATCTGATTAGATTAATTGAATTTGTTAATCTTAAATTCATTTGTTATTTTTCACTAATTGTCAACTCATTAATTGTATCAATTGATAGTTATCAATGTCTACATCTTTTCATATAATTAAAAGTAAGTTGATTGTTAGGTTATTTCAAGTTGATTAATTGACTGGTAAATGATGGTTGATATTTAATCAATAAAATTTAATTTGATTATGTTAATTATTTAAATATACTTTTGATCATTATTATGATTTATTGATTGTATTGTATATTTAGTTTAAATTAATTTAGTTGCTTCATTAATTATTGATATTGAGTTGAAAAAAAAATTTCTCATCATAATTGATAATAATTAACTTGAACGACTAATTTGACTTAAATTACATTTAATTGTGGTTAAATTGTTCAGCAATTTAAATGATTACATGTTACCTCATAATTATCACTGATACATTGTTGAGTAATTAGCATGAGATCAAAAGTAACATGATTACGTTTTCTGAATAATATTAAATCATGAACTTTTTTTTATCAATATTCCGATAAGATAATCATGTTTATCATGGTCAATTGTTGTTCAACCATGAGACATGTTTGATGATTTGATTTAATTTAAACAAGATTAGTGTACATATAAAACAATGACCACTGACCATTAATCAATTTTTAAGTGAACACAATATTGTCAATCTCAATGGTAATCACTGTGACAATTTAAATAATTATGATATAAAATCATCTAACACACTTGACTAATTTTAATAGTTGATTGTAAATTTATTATATTTGAATTGTAAATTCATTGATTGAATTGAAATTAGTCAAGATTTTAGTTGATAATAAAAGTTATTCAAGAATTGATAATAAACTGAATGGTTTCTAGTATTTATATGAAATCAGCAAAAGTGATAATGATAAAAAATAGAAACAATTTACTTGATTGTATTGATTAAATTGTAAATTACTAAGGGTACGTGTTCCAATGGGAAATGCTCACTTAATGCTACATGGGCTCAAGGTAAGAATTTTATATTTAAATTTCAATTCGTTTCTACCTGAAGATTTGATTGAGAATTGATTTTTCCTCTACATTTACATGTAATATTTGTTTGTATATTCATTTCTGTTCAATATTGACTAAAGTTAAGTGAAGAAACTATTAAGTTGCACTCAGTTTACCGGAACAAATAGCACTCGAAAAATGTACTTTTTACTACATGGAAAAGGGTAAAGAGTGAAATGTCACCAAAGAAAGTAAGTACAGAATTTATAATGAAAATTTCCTCAAAAAATAGACAAATAAAAGAGATTCTGAAACTTTATTTAGGTGAAAAAATCTAATAGAGCCAGAGAATCGTATCATTAGTGTTCACTATAATATCTGAGGTCATCGTGAGATTTTTCTCATCAATTTAGTGGTCATTTAGTTGATTGCGAAAGAGTTGCCGTTCCATAGTTGAAATGTATCGAAGTTCATGATAAAAGGAATATGAATACATACTAAGGAAACAAGTGAGAGTATGAAGAATGTTCAACGATTTCGAGTGAACATTAAAAAGGTCGACAAATCTAACGATAAGTTTCAACCGTTTTCCTATTTGATTCTCATGATGCAACAAGTATTTCTGATGTTGACCAGAATATCTTGAATTTGTGATTATGTTGCTTTTTATTTACTCGAAATTTTCATCTAAACAAGTGAATATTATTACAAATAGAAATCAGGTATTACATTTGAACTGTAATTAAATTGATTTTGGAAGCAAAAATAATTAGGATCAGGAAATGGGAGTGTATCTGAATTCTGGGATGATTCATTTGAAATACAATTCTCATTCTTATAATCTTCATCTCATTTCGAATTGTTATCTTTCTGATTTTTTTCTGATTCACTTTCAAGATCAACTACTCGTTACTTTTACTACTGATTGATAACTTTCTCAGCATTTTGTTTATTTCATTTGTTCAAATGATGATAATTCGAGGGAAACTGGTGAAGATACAGGGAGAAGGAGATGGAAGTTGAATAAGGAAAACACCAACATGAGGGAATCAACATGGAAGACTTTTTCACTCTCACAATTGAAAAAAAAATCTTCCAAATTCTCTGGTGATTTAGAAAAGAAGAGAAAAAAACTTGATTGTAGTTTTAATTCTAGTTCATATATACTAATAGATGTTCACCTCATCATCATGTAAACACATCTAAGAACATGATAACCAACAAGAAGATACACCAAATGAATGATTAAAATGAGCAGAAAAAGGA